TAACACAATAGAATTATTTAATATATAGTTTTATTAATTGCATGAGGGTTTAAGGAAAACTATTGATAGACATGATTAGTTGAAATCAAAATATCTTTTAAAGCAGTATTTCTATTTATTTATTTATTTCCTAGTTTTTGATCTTGCTTTAGTTTATGTTTTGGCCTCGCTTCACTTGGCTAAATTTGAATCTTTTTTGCCACATTTTAAAAAGTTTATATAAAAATATCATGTTGCAAACTTAAAGTTTTAATCAAGGTTACACAATAACATGTATGCAATTTAAACATAAGTACTAGAACTCATACATACAGACAGCTTTGTCATCCAGTGTTAGCTAACTAATAATTAGAAAATTAAGCGAAGCAGTATAAAATTTTATCTCTTTAATTAAATAGAACACAATACATAAGGCTAATTTTGAAAATAACTAACACAAATAACTTTCTGCTTCAGGTTACATTTGTTTTATATTTCACTATCGTTATTTAAATCAAAATAGGAAAACATTTACTGTATTACACTGACATTGTTGCATCGGTTAAGTGGCTGTGTTCGCAACAGCAAATAATAAAACAAAAAAAAACCTGATTATCAAATTACTTCGTATGGTTCTTTCGCTATTTTCTTTGACGATCAGTGATTATCTATTCATCATACCGGCAGGAAAAACAACCAAAAGTGTAAAAAAGCTTAAAAAAAAACAAACCCAAATCGGGAAGACATATAAGTGCAAAAAGGATGTCTTTTTTACTAGAATTTAAACATGTTAATCGATTCTAAATTTTTTGTTTTCTCCACCATACATAGTATTATATACGAACCGTAAGTACGTACGTATCTATATATATATAATTGGCAGATAAAAATCTCTTCTTTTATAGATTTAAGGAAATTTTGGCCATCGATCTTATGCACAAATGTGATACAGAATGCAAAAAAGAGTAAAAAAAGTACACGGCTTAAGTATAAATAGCAAAGAATATTACACTGCATGAACAAATTAGGAGACAAGAAAATATTTTTATAACACAACATGGCTTTGGTTGACAAGAATATATTGCAGTTTTCAATGGTTTTTAAATTTTTTTACAATTTTTAAAGATATCTAAAACTGTGTTACTATCTTCTTCATTAACAAAAAAATAAGTACCAATGTTCTAATAGCCATATGAATCTCAAACATACAAGATAAACAGATAGCAATCATACTTGTTAGTTTTATGTATTGAATTAATAATAGTTAACTACCCATATTGTTTAAGCTTGGCAAGTTTAAGAGAATGTATAAAGATCAGACCATAGGTAGACCAACTAGAGATTATATAATATTCAATATGATATTCTGGTTTTTCAAAAAAATACTTTTTTCTATATCAGATTTTTTATTTTTATTATCTCTAAATAGTTATTTTGAACTTTACAAAGTTTGTATTTAATGTTTGTAACTACAGTATGTTTTAGCTCCTTAACACTTGAGCTCAAATCTAATATTCTAGTTATATAGTCTTTAACTACACTTATAATTGAAGGTGATGGGTAGTTTTTGGTCACTTCTTTTTCAACAAATTTTTGCACTGCTTTTGAATGCTTTAGCTTTTTACTTTCATCAAGTGTATATATGATTAGAACTTCTATTATATTATTTTACTTGAACTTTTTGCATACTAACAAAATATAGTACCCAAATTTTTGCAAAGCAGAAATTGGATAAACAGACCTGTGTTTTTGATATTTTTTAGCAAGAATTCTATTCTTTTGACTACTTGAATAATTATACTTCATTAATCAGCATGCAAATGTCTTTTAAGAATTATCATTAGTGTAATTTTTATAACTAAACCTTGTTTATATATTTGTAACAAGTAACTACTATTTATAAAAAAATTCATTTATTGATACTTCAAATAGTTTATCAATATTGAAGAAAAGTGCTCACCTTTGATTAAAAGTTGTAGATTGTAATATATAAACTTTGATCACTTTATATACTATGGGTACTTTAACTACTACAGATATTGCTTGTATCTTCTTATTTTCTTTTTCACTATTATCCAACACAATCATATCATTTTCTCTAACACAGACTTTTTATTTTTCACCAAAATTCACCTTTGTCAACTTCAATTTCTTCAATTATATTGTCTTTTCTTTTAATAAAATTATTAGTTATATTAAAAAAAACTATATTAAATAAAAAAAGAAAACACAAAATAATAATTTATTTGCAATTCAACTACAGAACTACAATATAATAAATATGCTCTGCTCACTAAACAATAATAAT